TCTCCTGGAAGAGTGCAGACACACATTACGCGAAACCCACAGCCTTTCGCGATACACAGCTCGAAACGCTTTAGTTTATTTATATAGCCCCTCCACCCTCAGCTCTTCCCACCCGTCCCCAAATTCCCTAGAAATCCAGCTAAGGCGTGGGGAAGAGGGGAAAGCGGTTTTGGAGGGGAGGGAGTTATTTATTTTTGTTTTGTTTGGGGATTGTTTTGTTTTGTTGGGGTTTTTTTCTTTGCATACAAAAATAAGTGAAGAAGATTTTGCAAGGTAGGTTTCTCTGTGTGTGTGCGCGCGTGTGTGTGCGTGCGTGCGTGTGTGTGTGGTGTTTTCCTTTTGCTTTTTTGCAAAGTTTTCTGATTTGAGTTGTTGGATGCTTTTGCAAGAAGTAGACTTTTCTGATTTGTTCTGCTACCTGCCTTTGAAAAGACTAGACAGCGTTGCATTCCCCCTCCTTGCAAAGAGTTCTCTAGGCTGTCGTGTTGTGTGTCCTGTGCATTTGATGTTCCTGCAGGAAAGCATGTTAGTTTGCGAGCTCAAACTGCAGGCAGGGAGCTATGTATTTAAGACCCCCCCACACTTTTTGCAGAGGCTGCAACTTTCACTTTGTCACATTTTGGGGTGGGGGGAGAAGGAAGGCATCAACTCACTCAGGAAACGAGCTTGCAAATGAAATTTTAATTGCAAAAAGAGTCGAAGTCAGCAGTGTTAAAGCTTAAGGAGGTTGAAAGGGAGTTGACATTTCCTGCATAGAGAATTTGCTACCACTGGGAATAGACTGAAAGTCCATACTGAAACAGGGGGGGTAATAGGTAAAATAATAACAAAGCAAATGATGAGGCAAAATACTAATTAAAGTGATGCAGGAAAGTGAGAGGCTGTTACAAGCTCTAACCACCTGTAGAGGGAAATCTTTATACATAGTAATTTCTGATAGCTGATCTATAGAGGAAACTAAACAGAATTACATGTTCCAAACTTTGCTGCTCTGCAATGTGTGAACCAGGATGCCAAGATGCTTGGTTAATTCTCAGGGGTTTGCAAACTGCAGATACTGTTAGCTCAGGAGAAATGAGGGTTTCTTAGTCTCCACCTTGGCTGCAGCCATCTGTGGTGCACGTCCTGGTTTCCTTTACTGCTGCTGCACTCAACGTGGTTATCAACAGATGTCTTGCCTGAGAAGAGCAGGTTTGATTTATTGCTAATTTCAAGTGGCTTTCTCAATCAGAAAAAGTTGGGTGGTCTTCACTGTCTGAGGGGAAGGTTTCCAAAGTAGCTGTGAGGACCAACTGCTTTAACCAGCGGAAAACCTTTTTCCCTTCAGAGAACCGTGCTCAACTTCTGTGTAACTAAAAGTAATAACTAATACTGTGTGACAACTGACACAGGACACAGTGTGAGTAATGTGCCACACCTTGTGTAGTGCCTTTTCTTCTGAGGAATCTCAAGGCACTCAGTGGAGCAGTGAAGCAACCT